CCAGGCCGTTCCCGTCGCGCGGCTGCGCTGGGGGGCGGGAGCCCCCGGCCGCCGATTTCATCCATTTTTGATAATTAGAAAAGAAAACCTTGGCAAAGCAATTTTGTTAGTCCGGAGTATCGGGTAAATTGGACTGGCTCGTATTTGCTTGTGGCCTGAGAATGAAGCTGAGTAATACTTTATTACATCCCTGTTCCTGATCTGGAGAGACAGTTGTTTCCATTGTTGGTGGACAGTCCTGAAAAATAGAACCAATTTCCTTAACTATAAGTGTCCCCCCTCAAGTTAAATTGCATAGACATTGTAAGTGACACTTTACCACCAGTTCCTTCTTTTTTATATGATATTTGTTATTTACATTTAATCCCTGAACATCTTTAAAGTATATGGCATGGTTTTTTCCCATAGTGAGTACAGTGAGTACAGTATGTATCAGTCAAGACAAAGACATTACCATATACATTATCATCAGCAAATAACTTTTCATTTTTGTGTCAATTGAATGTATTGTTCATTTTTTCCCTGTTCCCCTCTCTCCCTCCCCCTATTACTACCCACTATTAACCACCCCCTACTATCTCTAGTATCCACAGTTGCCCTCCCTGCTAGTATACCTTCCGATCTTTGTATGCCCCACTCACTATTCACCTGTTACTTTTTTGCAAGCAAATGTAAGAGCTTTTACTTTGGTCAGATTGTGGTATTATTTTCAGAAGAGAAACAGTCTAGAGAAAATGACTTCTTTTTTTATTTTTTATATTGTTGCCAGATTCCCATGGACAGCTCATTAGAGAGGATGGTGTGTTCAATCTTGTCCAGCACATCAGAAGACAAAGCTGAGAGAGAGAGCCCCCATGGCACCTGTCACTCTAGGTGGTCAGAGGTCAAAGACTATCTCGTGCACACCATCAGCTGGTGGCGAGTCTACAAACAGGTGCTGCCCACACCCACATACTTGGTCCATGAGCCTGCCACTTTGAAATGGTCCAAACAGATTTCTTATCCTCAGAGAAGGGGAGGAGAGGATTCTGTGTCTTTGCTAGGGAAAAGCCTGAAGCATTCCAAACCCTGGCCCTGTGTACACCTGTTCCCATGTGTATCCACCAGTTTCAACAGTAGTGCTACCAAGAGTCCTTCCAGGCCTAATCACCCTCCAATGACTGAGAGTCCCCTGACCTGGCTGCTGTCACTGGCTATGTTGACCTTAAGCCTTTGCTGCCAGCATTCATATTCCTAGTCCTTTGCTTCCACTCTGGTTTTGACGAGAGCACAGTGCACAGTGACTGTAATTTAGAGGTGAACAGTGAGAAAGGAGGTGGTGGTCTGGTCTGTTTTCACAGACCACGTTCTGTAGGGCAGAATCTCAGAGTTTGTGGTTCTTATGGCCTTGAACCTGATAGGGGCCAGGTCTGTTCACAGCTTTGTGTTCCTTGGGGAAATTTTGGAGGCACGTGGGGCAGGACACCCCCCACACCCCCACCCCATGGGATCACTTCCCATTTGCTTTATTGGGTGTCATATCCCCCAGCCAGTGTTTTTCCTTAAAGAGCACACCTGCTTAGCCTCCCTGTGACATATGCTACTGATAAAGGTCAAAGCTTTAAAAAGTGGATAAAACATTATTTAAAAAAAATAGGTATTGTTGTCCATATGCTGACACTAAACTGACACTAAAATGATCAAGGAAAAGTGCTAGAATGAGCAGCACCAAAGTGGTCAGATGGACACCTTTGCTTTGTGTATTGTCTGAGTAACTGAACCTGTGGTTAATGTAGGCTTAGTGAGCACACACGAATGTTGCCAACAACTTCTCTGCATCATATGGTTTAGGCGTAACAGACCTATTTTAGGGCCAGCAAATTGGCATGGAGGTTAAGGTGGCTGGATCCCACATGCCTGATTGCATGGTTGGAATCCCAGACCTGGAGGCTTAAAAAAATTCCAAGAGGAGAAGGGATTGCAGCATGATTTCTCTCTCTCTCTCTCTGTGCTTCTCTCTGGTGAGCATACACACCCTATAGCAAAAACAAAATAAACAAGATCTATTTTGGTTTAATGTTGACAATTGCTGTTGTTGGTGTCACCCTAAGGCCATGTCATCGAATTGTATTTAATAACTATGTTAACTTTATATATATATATATATATATATGGGAGGTTTTTTTTTTTCCCTTAGGGCACGTGCTCTTGCTGGAGAGAGAGAGACAGAGACAGTGAGAGGGAAAGTCAGAAATCACCCCCCCAGGAGAATGGTCAGCTGGAAAGCCATATTCCCATCTCCTCCATTCTCCTCCTAAGACCTTGGGCACACATGCACACGTGCCTGGCATGATTTTTCAAGCCACTGGTTCCGGAACTCAAACTGCCATTGGCCATGTGAGAATCCAGCGACATAACTGCTGTGCCATATGCTGGCCCCTATGGTGTATATTTCAAAGTGTATGAATATATTTATACTAGCCTGAATATGTCAGTTTAGTTTTTATGTTAAATACATTTAGAAATTTATGTTTTTCCCTTCTCTTTTTTTCTTCTCTTTGGGGAAAGGAAGGAAGCAAATAGTCAACTAAAATGTTGGTACATCCACTGTTGCAATTTGTCATTTTAAATTTCTGAGTAGAAAGTAAGTCGTCATGAAGTCATTAATAGACATGTCCATTTGCCACAGCAACATAAAAAATTGGCTCTACGTCACCTGGAGTAGCCTGTTTCTGAACTAAAGACTATTATTTCTACCTTGAGAACCTTAATAACAGTACTTTTGTTTGGAAATCGGCAGGTGTTCGATCAATGGCGACAGGCTGGGCTGCTTCAGGAGACACTGATGGCTGCAGCCCAGAGTGTGGAGGCGCTCAGGGATCAGTTTGAAGAATATACCACGCCATGGAAGGTGGCAGGGACTCTGCACTTGGGGCTGCTCCTCCTAAATGACAGCTTGGCAGCAGGTGGCCCCACGGACAACCACATATCCCCCATGCTGTAAGGCATACATCCCTGCTTTATTACTGATTAGATTAGAAAACACTGAATTGTTTAAAGAATTATTTAATTTAATTTTATTCATCATTATTACTATTACTTTAATTTGACCAGAGAGAGATAGTGACAGAGGGAGAGAGAAAGTGAGAAAGTAAGCCTTCAGGTCCAGGACTAGAACCATGGTTGGCCACACACTTAACCACTATGCCACCTGCTGGTCCCAGATAACACTGAATTGTAAGAATGCATGATGGGTGGCCGGCCCAGTAGCCTAGTGGTTAAAGGAGCTAGATCCTGCATGGTTGATGTGTGTGTGTATGTGGGTGCTCCAAATCCTGACAGAATGGAGACATGGAAGAGAAGGGATTGCGGTGTGACCAAGCCCCCTGGGGGCACGTTCTCCTTGTTCCTCTCTCTGGCATGTATACACACCCTGTGACAATAAAAAGAAAAAAAGAAAGCATGATGGGGCTGACTCCGTAGCACAGTGGTAATGTGCTTATGCAAGCGAAGCCAGATCCATGTGGAGAATGCAATTCAGATTCCAACCTGTTTAGTGTGAAACAGGCTGGTGCATGCAATAGTGACTGAGGGATAATGGATTGAAGGACAGGAAAAGGATATCTCAGTAGAATCAGACCCTGTGGAGAGTTCCCTCTCTCTCTTTCTCTCTCTGGTGTGTGCACAATATGCTCTATCATGAATTAAAACAAAATTAAAGGGCCAGTCCATGCAGTGGTTAAGTCCTGGACACTGGGAGCCAGATTGTACATGGCTAGCCTTGGTTCGAAACCCACTCTGGTGGCTTAGAAAACACTCCAGATGCATGTGCATGTGTGCCCATAGTCCTGGAGAATTGGAGGAAAAAGGATTGGAGTGTGACTACACCCCATTGGAGGATGGCTGGCTGGCTTTCTTTCTTTCTTTCTTTCTTTCTTTCTTTCTTTCTTTCTTTCTTTATCTCTCTTTCTCTTTCTCTTTCTCTTTCTCTTTCTCTTTCTCTTTCTCTTTCTCCCTAGTAAGTGTATTTATCCTCTGGCAATGAATTAAAACAAAATTAAAGGGCCAGTCCATGCAGTGGTTAAGTCCTGGACACTGGGAGCCAGATTGTACATGGCTAGCCTTGGTTCGAAACCCACTCTGGTGGCTTAGAAAACACTCCAGATGCATGTGCATGTGTGCCCATAGTCCTGGAGAATTGGAGGAAAAAGGATTGGAGTGTGACTACACCCCATTGGAGGATGGCTGGCTGGCTTTCTTTCTTTCTTTCTTTCTTTCTTTCTTTCTTTCTTTCTTTCTTTATCTCTCTTTCTCTTTCTCTTTCTCTTTCTCTTTCTCTTTCTCTTTCTCCCTAGTAAGTGTATTTATCCTCTGGCAACTAAAACAAGAAAAAGAAAAGAAAAGAAAAACAAAACCTAAGAAAATTTTAAATAAAAAGAATATACAATAATTGTATTAGAAAGAAATTCTGTAAAATGACACTGGATGATGGATTCCTAGTTAGCAAATTAGAAATCCTAGGCTTGAATTGTGGCCCATCACAGGCTAGAGGTCTCTACAGAGGTCTGGGTGCCCATTAGATGCTGAAAACAGTCCAATGGGGGAAGATATTTGAGAGGTTTTTAGCTGCCTGGATTTTGGTCTTCTATCTGGCATTTGTTCTAAAGTAAACAAATATATTTAGAGATTCTTTCATGTGAAGAACTACCTGTTTTCATATTGTTTAAAAAATTGTGTATAGTTGAGGTATTTAAAGTCTAGAAATATTGTAGAAGTGAGGCAAGGTGGACTTTGTGGTTTCTTTTTAAAATAGCAAAAGAATATTCACCAAAGTGGTCAATTCTGGTACAGAATTCTTCCTCAGAAGGTGTGGCACTTTGTAGAAAGCTCAATCTTATTACCCTCAGGAAACCAAGACTCTCCTTGAAGAGATCAAGAGGGTTCTCCATATTATATCAAGAGGGAAATACAGACTCTTGCTCCCCCTGTACTGTGAAGATGGTGTTGTGATGTCAATATTACACGGGGCTGTGCTTTTATGATTACACAATAGCTACTCCTTCCATTTCCAGCTCTCCCACGTCTCCTGGAACCCCATTAGGAAACAGGATCTTGCTTTTGAAAGTCCTATTTCCTAACATTTACTTAAGAGGTGGCCCAGGGAGTGGGGCAGCCATGTGGTTCCCCACCAGGGCCCTAAAAGCTACAGGAAGGTAGAGACAGGGACCAGCAGGGATGCTTGGAAATGGTGAGCTAGACACAGGGCAGGGACAGGACATTGCATTGGGGTGTTTTGGCAACTTTTCTGCTGGTTGGCTTGGGAAACATAATGTGTCTATTACTTAATGTACATTAATAGAGACACTGCATTGCCATCTTAATTATCCTGTGTATCTCAAATGCTCCGTGGTGCTTTAACCAGGGTCCTACTTGCTTTCTGCTAGACCAAGAGAAGGAAGCCCTGGGAGGTCCTACCTGGCCTGTATGTTGCACATGGATGTGGAAAACTCAGGCTATAGCCCCCTCAGAGTCCCAGGCTTGGGCATCCTCCCTCAAACACAATGTCTACACATGCAGTGGCAGGACCAGAAGCCCTAGCACTGGCCTTGCCATCCATTTGCCTTAGGAGCCTCCATTTCTATCTGAACACTGTTTTTGTCAGGGGTGACACAGAACTGCCACCTGTTGCTGTCTGGGTGACAGAAACTCCACTACCTGTGCAGGTCTGGTCCCTGTGTTGGCTTCTTGGGCTTTGGCTCCTGTCTGGTAATGGCATTGCTAAGTGATCTCCAAGGCCTCTGCTGGTCTTCGACCCCTTGCCTGCTGGAGACAGGGCATGGAACTGCCCAATGGCTCGTGACTTCACTATAAGGAAGGGGGAATCCACCCACATTGTTAGGCTGCTGTGGGGATCAACAGAGGAGAGACCCCAGCACTGAGAATCACCCACACTTAAAAGATAGTCTTAAACATTGGCCCTTCTCCCCCTCTGCTACCAACATCTGCTTCTCTCTCCTACACTCATCTCACCAGCCATCCTCCTGCTTGTTACAGATTCACTAATTTTCTTGGAGTCCCTTCATATATACTGTCAAGGCTTTGTGATCCCTGTTGTTATTCTACTATTTTTGTAGTAATTTTTTTCTTTTACTCTTATATGTTGCTACTGATCCCATCCCAGTAGATGCAGTGCATGTGTGTACGTGTGTGTGTGTGTGTGTGTGTGTGTGTGTGTGTATCTTAATTGGCATCCTCTTAGTTTCAGATTTATGTTGGTTTTGCCCTTCTCCCCCTCTGCTACCAACATCTGCTTCTCTCTCCTACACTCATCTCACCAGCCATCCTCCTGCTTGTTACAGATTCACTAATTTTCTTGGAGTCCCTTCATATATACTGTCAAGGCTTTGTGATCCCTGTTGTTATTCTACTATTTTTGTAGTAATTTTTTTCTTTTACTCTTATATGTTGCTACTGATCCCATCCCAGTAGATGCAGTGCATGTGTGTACGTGTGTGTGTGTGTGTGTGTGTGTGTGTGTGCGTGTGTGTGTATCATCAAAATTCTGATTGCCACATTGAAGCGGAGAGTGGAATGGTGGGTGCCAGGAGCTGGGAAGGGGTTGGGGAGGGTAGACCAGGGAGAACTTGAGTAACAGCTGCGAAACTGCCCTTTGGTAGAGGAGTGAGCTAGAGTTCTCTAGCATGGGAGAGTAACTATAGTGATGAATGTAAGTTGAATATATACTTCAAAGGAACCAGAAGAAAGGATTTCAAATGTTTACAACAGACCGTAATGAGGAAGGCCTCAGAAACGAGCAGCAGCCTGAGAGGGTGGGTTTGTTTAGTGCCCGATTTGATCACACCTTACTCCATAAATATTACAAATGTTAAGAAGCCCCGATCACTTTCTTTTCTGGGCTATGCACTTTCTCATCTGCTGGACTGATGGCCCAGACTCTGTTTCCTGTTGTCTTTCCTGAACATTGCCTGATACTCCCTTCTCCACCACAATATTTTTGGTGGTGTTTTTGTTTTATCTATTGATATCTTTGTTACTTCCTTTTCAATGTTTCATCTTTGTTCCTCCAATTCAGCTTAAATGCTTCAATTAAATCAGATGTTGCTTACCTCCTCCAAATCTTAGTCACATCCTTTAAAAGAGACTCTACATCTGTTATCGAAAGCTTAAGCTTTGGTCCTGGCAACCACACTCCTTTCTGTTCACCCTGTCTCTACAACCAGTTGTTCAGGTCTTTTTCTCTTCCCAAGTCCAAGTGTTCAACCAAAAGCAATAAATGTATCCCTAGACCTCGGCAAGAAGCCGAGAACTTCCTGTCATTACAGGTCATCTTTCCATGCTGTGGTTTTGTCTTTCTTGTCCTGGTCATGTCACTCAGGATGCCTGAGACCTGGCAGCTCTGCCTCCATGCCCGGATGGGTAGTTCGGGTCCTGGCAAGGAAGGGCTCCCAGAGGGCCTCTGGGCCCTCCTCACTGCACCCCTGCACCTCACAGATGTGGACTTGTCCCCAGTACCTGGCCCTTCTGTGTCCTTGCTTGTCAGAGCTTGAAGAGGCTGCACAGGCCACATCCCAGCCACAGAGCATATCCATTTTCCTTGGGGAGGATAAAATAAAGCACAACCATCTCTTTCCCATTTTCTAGTTCTCCCCCCACCCTAAGACAACTCTACTTGTGCCTCTCTGTAATCCAGAATCAGAGAATAGAGTCACCTAGTCCCCCTGCATGCTGGGGAGGCTCAGTTGAAGAAGCCATCCCTATGGTTTTAGGCAGGGTAGGTGGCCAGGAGCCCGGGCAGCAGGCAGGAAGCCTTAGCACACAGGTGGCCGAGTGGCTGCTCTGCCCTGTGGGGCTGACATGGGATGGGCACCAGCTCTCACCAGATTTTTGAAGGAGACACTTAGCAGGGGCCCTCGTCACCCTCCCTGCACCCTCTGCAGTGGTCAGATTCCTCAGCCACAGAGAAACAGCAACTATTTTGTCAAACCTGTGACTCACCCAAGACTGTGGAGATGCTGTGAGGAGACGGCCAGGTGGTGCAGAGTTGGGATGAAGAAGGAGCACAAATGTAGCCCGGCTCCAGCCATAGGGCATTTTGCTGGCTCCACATGGCTGCCTGCCCTCTTGCTTCACTCTCCTTTTAGTTGTCTGTCTTCCGAGGTTGAGGATGCCATGTGCTCACACAAAGTCCTTCCCCATCTCTAGGACTCAGGAAGGAGGAAACAGAAAGGCTTGGAAAAATCTAGAAAGTGGGAAAGAAATGGGTGTGCTTTATTGTATTCTCACCAAGGAAAAGAGACACCCTGTCGACTTGGAACCCAGAGGTTGGCAGCCAGCCTGTTCGAGCTCTGACAAGCAAGGGCAGAGAAGACCCAGAAGGCCTGCATGTGCCTGCTCCCGGGCAGTTTTGCCTCCCATTCCTCATACCTATTTTGATTTCAGTTCCCTCTCAGTCTCAGACTCATTTCTTTGTCAGTGTTTCTTCTGGGTTACCTCCTGCATTTGCTCCTGAAAGACATGCTCCAAAGCAAGTCGGAGCCCGTAGGAGTGCCCTGCAAGCCCTGCCTCGTCTGCCAGCTGCAGGGAGTAGCCCATGCAGGCAGGGAACGGCAGCTCTCACAGTGCTGCTTGCAACTCCTCCCTGGTGGCTCTTCTACCTGGCCTTCAAGGTGACAGCTGAGCACTCAGTCTCTTCAGCAGGCCTGGGTTGGACACTCCTGTGCCTTAGCTAAGCCTGGGCCCTGTTAAGCTAAGTTTCTAGGGTCTGTAAGTAACAAATGCCTGGCAGGTCATCCTTCTTTGACCTCAGGGACTCTGATGAGCATTGCTAATTTGCTGTAGCACTATTTCCATGGGACTGTACTCTACCATGTACCATCTCAACACTCTAAAACTTCTCTGAAAATGTTTCTGTCCTAAATGTAGGCTTCAAGAAAGACACTTCTTATAAAGTAACTTTATTCATGGTAGACAAAACATTTGTAAGAGAAGGAGAGGGAGGGAGGGGTACCCTGGGCAGTATTTTGTCCCCTTTCCCACCCTCCGGCCCCTCAGGATCTTGGGTGCCCTTGCATGTGTGTATTTTCAGACCTACCTGGGGATCCAAACATACTGTCAGACATGTAGCTTTCAGCATTGCAGTTAAATTTGCCATTGACTATTCTATCAGCCTATCGGATGTTTTTAAATCCTACCTGCAAATTTATCTTAACCCTCAGCATGATTGCATGCTGCTAGAAATATACTTTTCAGTTTGGGGGTAAAAGACAGTTTAATCTGTATTTAGTACCATAGGGAATCTCCAAATCAGCTGATTCAAATAGCGTGATTTGTCAAGGAGTTAGTTAGATGATGAGGTGGGACTTTTAGTCCACAGATACACCTTCCAAAGTAGCAGACTATTTCCCTTCAAATGGAATCTTCATTTCCCTGGTTGGCACATTGAACTGCTTTCCATTTTATTTCACACATTTGTATTTGTTCTCAGATTACAGCATCTCCAGAAATTGCAGAGCCTGTTACAAAACCTGCCCCAGTGGCCAGCTCTGAAGAGATTGCTTTGGCTAGATGGAGCTCTCAGGAATGCAATAGCCCAAGATTTGCATTTCATCCAAGGTAAAGCAGCTCTGGTGTTACCAACTTACTAAAAGCAAGCAGGAAACTCATTGTAAAATGGCCTCGAAGCTGCCCGACAGCATTGTAAAGTTCAGAGACAAGTTATGCTGGTGTTGAATCTATATTTGTGTTTTGTGATGATGTCTTCTGGGGGTATTTTAAATACAGCCACCAAGGTGGGATGAACAGTGCTGTCATGATGAAGGATGCATCCTTCTGTGTGCCGCAAGTTACATGACCTACGACAGGTTGTTTCCTGGGTCGGGATTTGATATTTGCATTCACACCAGCAGCTGCAGCTCTCAGGCTGGAGAGGGGCCAGAGCACAACGTGAATAGGCCAGTTGTTCATGTTCTGTGTCCCTCCCCTCTACTTCCTGGAGACTGGCAGGGGAGCAGGTGCCTCTGGTTTGCAGAACGCTTTTCTTTGACCCTGCCGTCAACTCTAGAGGGTGCCATTCCTTTGAGAAGGTCAAGTTTGCACTTTGGTGCAGGTGGGATGAAGTCTCTTCATCTTCTCAGGGAGGAGAGAGAAGAAATGAAGAGAGGTGTTCCTTTAGAAGTCAAACTCCTGTATTAAAAACTACTCACGAGTTTTCAGGAAGGATAAATGGTATAACAATGACATTTCCTCTCTAAGGAAGATAATAAAACGTATGATAACAGATCAAGGGTATTGAAATGGTTGTGTTCAGATTTCAGTTTATTGATTCATGACCATGTCTTGAAGTCAAGCTCAGAGTAGCTTACTTCGGGTGAAAACTAAATCAATTTGTCAATCTTGCAGAAATCCTCACTCTCCTGGAGATGTCAGCTAACAACTTCAATTGGGTTGGACCTGACTGGCTGAAGCTGGACAAGGACGTGTTCTTTAGGGAGTTAAAGCAGGTAAAGCACAGCCAAGGATTGTAAATAAATAATTTTCATCAAACTTTCAAGAAGTTCGTGCAATATTCAGCTCTGCTCTGTTGTGAATTGCATTAACAAGAGAAAGCGGACAAGGGGCAAGTTTTAGAAAAACTTCATTGCATTTTAAAAACTTACAAAAAAAAACTTAAAAAAATTTTATTCATGATAGAAAGTGTATACACATACACATGCACATGAAAAAGACAGAGAGACCAGTACCCTTGACAGGGTCTCTTCATGATCTTTTTTTTTCTTTTTTTTGAGAGATTTTCGCTATAGGCGCATGCGCTCACTAGACAGACAGAGAGAGACAGAGAGACAGAAAGCGAGAAATCACCCCCCAGGGGGGATGGTCACGCCGCAATCCCTTCTCCTCCATTCTCCTCTCGGGATCTTAGGCATGCATGCACACGTGCCCGGCGTGAGTTTTAAGCCACCAGGTCCGGGATGCGAACCGCAGTTGACTATGTGGGAGTCCAGCGACATAGCCATTACGCTAACTGCTGGTTCCCTCCCTAGTGCTTTATCTTGTCAGGAGCTTGGGCACTCCCACATGCTCCTAGCATGTTCGAGGTTGACCAGGAATCCAAGCCCACAGACGGCCATGTGGCTTCTAGCACTGCAGTTCAGCACTCTACTGTCCATCCCAGTGGGACTGGACCTATCCTAAATTTTTTGTTGTTGTTTATTTTTATTTGCAGTTCTTGCACCCACACATGGGAAGTACATATAAGTCTCTCTAAATGCTATTTCTTTTCACCCTCATTAATTTTTCAGATGTTGATAAAGAATGCCACTAATCTCTGCCTACATAGAAGCTTGTCTGAGAAGGAGGCTTTCTTGCTTCCTGGAAACTCCAGTGTCTGGGGTGGCCTCCTAGGGCTGTTGTGCCATCACAACTCCTCCAACATGACCAATGTTGTAAACAAGCTACTTGGTTCAATAGAGAATGCCGTAAGTATGTTACCATCTTATCTCTTCCAAGAGCACCAAAGTGTTCATTTTTAAGGTTAAATCACTGAAGATGATAATGTTTAACCAAGAGTTTTAGCAGGGCAAGTGTTGACATTAACCCTCTAAAGTGCCAACCGAATCCCAGCCACACAGCCTCAACCTTATTCTTTTCTTCCCGTCTGACTGCATGGGAGGTTGCGTGGTGACCTCCAACTAAAACCTACTTGACATTTCTGAGATCACCCCGGGCTTTCTGAGTATGGTATTTCTGCTTCCCTGGCTTCCAAGTTCTCTGTCCTGCTCCACTTGCAGCTGCGGTGCCAAGGAAAGTAGAAGATTATTGTGATCAGTCAACTTGTAACAAAGCTGTGGTTTTCGGTGGTCACAGTATTTAAAAGTCAAGTTCCTTGGGGTTGTTAAGAGAGTTAGATCCCATGTGGCCAACCATGGTTCAAGTTCTGGTACTAATGGGTTGAAAAATATACCAGGTGTGTGTGTGTGTGTGTGTGTGTGTGTGTGTGCGCGCGCGTGTGCATGCTCAAAATCTCAACAGAATGAAGTGGCGGAGAAAGGATTGTAGTGTGATGACACCCCGTTGGGAAATGCTTTCTCCCTCCCTCTCTCTGTCTGGTAAGTGCACATGTCTTCTAGCAATTAAAAAAAAAAAGTCATAGTCCTCTTATGTCACTGCCAACAGCTTGGGTCTATCTTAGTTGAGTTCTCAGGTAAGACTGCAGAATTTTAGCAATTTGCTTAGAAAGATGATTATGTCAAAACAGCCTATATTTTTCTTACTGAAAACTAAAAATTATAATATTTATATTTTCATAGTACATTTTTCTCCCAATATTACCTGCTTTTTTTTAATCTTTTTTCTTACACACCATGAAATAAAAAAGTGAAATGATGTATTTAGTTAAATATATATGACATCACAGCAAAATGGAAAACTCCATTGTGTACATAGTTGAATTTGATGAGCGTTTCCTTAGCTTCTACTGTGGGTGTGATGTTATCGGTGAGGGGAATGCAAACATGGAGACACTGTCCTATGCGAAAGATGGACAATGAGCAGGAGGAGCCCAGCATCTGGATGTTTTCTCAAATCAGTAGATAAGCCTTAAATGAGGTGTGAAATTTGGAGGCAAGGAGGAGTCAGGAGGCTCTTCTTTGCCTAACTAGGCAGGTAGAAAAGTATATGTGAAGGCATTCAGATGTGAACAGTCACCACCTGTCTGCACATCTGTTTCCTACTATTGGGTAAGCTCTTTCCCAGCAGAAAGTTCATTCGGAATTTCTTTCTACCTATAAAGCCTAACTATATCTCCCCCTTCACCTTCGAAGCCGAGACTTCACAGAATCTGCCAGTGGGGGTGACTATAGTTACAGTTTGCATGATTACAGTTACAGGATATATGGTAATTTTTATGATGGTGCCTAGGTTGTGGGTTATTAACAAACCACCCTAGAGTTCAGTGGCTTAAAAAAATGCATTCTATTATCTCTCATGACTGGATTGACAGGGCTTAGCTGGGTGGTTCTTCTGATGGTCTTTTTGGGTGTCTTCAGGAGCTTGCTGTTAGATGGTGGTTCTTCTGATGGTCTTTTTGGGTGCCTTCAGGAGGTTGCTGTTAGATGGTGAGGGCTGGGGTATGGGTGCTTATTTGGGACACAGAGAGATGTACCTCCCAATTTCCTCTTGGGTCTCAGGGTCTCTCCTCTCCCCATATAGTCTCTCAAGAGAGTAGCCAGGCTTCCTACATAGATGTCTAGGAATCCCCAACACAGGCAAGCAGAAAGGGAGAGTTAGGAGCTGCCACTGCTTAGACAGGGCAGGAATGGTACTGGTATGAGTCATTTCTGTTGCATTTTGGGGGCTAATGTGAATGAGAGCTCACTGCAGATGAATTGTCAGAGGTGTTTATTAACAGTGAGACTATCAGGAGGTCTGGTTCACTGGGCCCTTTGATGGAAATGAGCTAACACGGATAGCTAGACACTTGGATCCTGTCCTGCTTTATTATTGGATGAAGTTTTACTTGAGAGTTTGTTAATTTGAACATGGAGTAAATATTTGACCTAGAACTAGGACTTAGGCAATCATCATCCTGCAGATGCTCTGTTCAGGAGGATCCTTTGTAGAGTGAGACTGGGTAAAGGCATCTTACCACCCATATTTGGGTTGCTTTATTCATTACAAGCAATGTTTTCTTTTTTTCTTAAGGATCATATTTTGCGAGAGGTCATTATTGGGCACATGAATACGTCAGCTTCAATACCTGAAGAATATTTGGGCTGGCAAGAACTTGAAATGCAGCTGTCAGAAGCAAACCTCTCCTGTACTCGGCTTCTCCTGCATCTGGGAGCTGAACCCTTGCCTGGGAATGGTGTGTTTTCTGGAGACTGCCAGCACCAGCTCATCTCCCTCGTGTATGTATGTGTTTAGTGGAAAATTCTCAGATAATTGAATAGTAAAATAATTTCAACTACCGTCTTTGACTCAAGTGATAGATCAGCATAGCAAATTGTAATTCTAATGTCTATGATAGACATGTATTTTATTTATTTAAAAAAATTAGTCTATGGGCTGGCAGGTGGCGTGGTAGTTAAGGTGCTGGACTTCCACATGGTCAACTGTGGTTCAAGTCCCAGACCTCGCAGCTTGCTTTCTCAATCTCACTTTCTCTGTTTCTATCTCTCTCTGGTAAGTACACATGCCCTATAACAAATTAAAATAATAAGTATACTATAAAATAAATTAATAATTAAAAAATGATTAGCCTATTGATACCATTGGAAGGCATCTAAAAATTATAGAATATTAAACAAATCCCTTTAAAATTTAACTATTACTTAATCTTTTACAAGAAATCAAAGATCCTTAATAGTCCAAGAAGTACATGTGGTTGAGGTTCGTGCGTATTACAGTACTCAGAATTCTTGCACTAACTACTAAGGGATGGCTTCTCTGGAGATCTGTGGTTCTCAAGAAAATTCGCCTTGTTTTTATTTATTTATTTTTTTTTAAATTCTAGAGTGTATGTTTGAGAGAGAGAGAGATTCCTGCATTTTTTTTCCTCCATTTCTCTATCCCATCAGGAATTTAGGCTAGCACATACATGCTCCTGGCATGTTTTTCAAGCTGCCAAGGCTAGGATTTGAATCACAGTTGGCTATGTGAGATCCAGCTCCTAATGCACAGGGCTTACCGCTGTGCTACAGGACTGGCCTGCCTTGTTTTTATTTTATGACTTTGCTAATTATAAGTGTGATCAACTTCTACTTTCCTTCCTTGAGTAGGGAGTTCATACTTGATATGTCAAATAGGAAATATGCTTTAGTCTCAAAATTCACTTCATACTATAGCCTTTAGTTTTCCCTTTTGATTTATACTGCCTTATATTTTATGTATTCCAGTAGGAGGTTTTCTTTCATTTTTCAAGTCAAGGCATTCATAAACAAGTAAATATTAAGAGAACTATTTCAGAAATTCTCCTTTCTTCTGTAAGTGGACAGCCAGCAATGTGCATATGTCTGTGTTTAGATGAGTGTGTAATGAGCTAATTGTTATCTGGAAAAACCATTGTTAAATTTTCTTTTTTTTCTGGATTCTTGACTGTAGGATATTTCATGCACTTGAAAAAGCACAGTTTTTCCTGGAGCAAACATCCTACTGGAAAGCTCTCACAGCTTTTATCCAGCAGACTTGTGAAGTGGCCCGACAAGTGAATATGGAAGGAAGTTCCCAGAGCAGGCTGGATGGTGAGACAGGCATGTGGGTGCTCTTCTTGTTGGTGAGGTCACATGACATAATAAGAGATCATCCTGTTTAATAAAGAGGCACTTCAGACAGGAAGCTCTCCAAGTACAATTTGCTACTGTGCTTCCTGCATTCAATGATTTTTCAGTCAGTTATAAGACTTAGCACAAGTCTTGGTGTGACTAGGCCAAGTGGTCACAGAAGTTTCTGATAGTGACTCCTCTTATGTTCGTAAAGAGTACTTTTATATATATTTAAGTAGGCACATATACAGAGTAATCGTACACTCACTTTCAAGTGTCAAATATTCACTGCATGTGGGACTTGTCACTACCTAGTGTTCAGTCTGTCTCAGGCTGAGTAGGCTCCTGTTGTGAAAAAAGAATTGAAACACCACCAAGACTTCTGTGACCAAATGGGTGGGGTTTTTCCAGTCCAAGCAATTCTCACGAATGCCAACAAGGTGTCCTGCAATTTGATTAAATTCTGGCGTTGTCTCTCTGGAGTTAGCATCAGATCCCACAGGTTGCAGGCTTGGCCCTGATAACCCCCATTGTTGATGCCCATCCCACGTCCAGGGCCCACTTCTGACTTCTCACAAACTGGCTCTAAATCAGCATACTCAGGACTTCCTCCTTGGGTGTGCTCATTTGCTAGACCAGTTCACAGAACCGAGGAAAGTAGTTTACTTACTAGATCACAGTACATTGTGAAGAATCTAACTCAGGAACAGCCAGATGAGAGATGTATAGTACAGGTATAGTACAGGTATAGGGAGGAGTTGGGGGAGGTGCAGAGTTCTGGACCCTCTCTGGGCACCACTCTGCCAGCACCTCCATTTGTTCACAACGTTGAACCACCTGAGTTTTTATGGAGGCGTCATTATTCAGATATAATTGATCAAATCATTGGCTATTAGTGATTGACTCAACCTCTAATCCTCTCTCCTTCTTGGAGTTTTAGGGTAGGTAAGAGAGTTGGAGAAGAACAGGGCTGATACTTAGATCATGGGATTGGTTCCTCTGATACCTTGTTCCCTTCCTTGGGCTATCCAGGACCCTCCCCCCCCTCCCCAGCCACCTTTGTCTCAGTAGGATATAAAAAGACACATGTTTGGAAATTTTTTATGGGTTTTAGGCATTCTATGCCAGGAAATTAATTTTATATATATATATATATATACACACACATACACATATATACATATATATACATATAGTTAGGATTCTGGAAAGTCATGATGTATTTCTACACTTTTCTATTGCAAAAATGTGCCATCACTTTTCTGACATATTTTATATATATATAATTTCTTATTAGGTTACAGCTCCCTTTTTCCCTTCCTAAATCCCTGAAAATGTAAATTTTGTAATGGCACAACTGCATGAGTCACAGAGTCCTCTTGTTTCTTCAAAAACCTTTTCTATCTCAACTGTAGCCCATACAGGAAAACGTGCATCTCTGACTCTGCTTCCTGCCCCAGAGCTGGCTAGGTTCATCTTTCCTGGAAAATCATGCTCCTGCTTGGCTTTGCAGTATGTCAAGATACTGCCATTCAGGGGGGTTATCGACTTCTCCTTAGAATGCCTGTGTCTTGGGACCTGCAGATGGCATAATGGTTACATCACTGGACTCCCACACAGTCAATCATGGTTTGAATCCCAAATTTGGAAGTTTAAAACTCACACAGGGTTCATGTGCGTGTGTGCCCAAAATCCTAAGAGGAGAATAGAGGAGAGGGAATGCAGTGGTGACCATCCCTCCTGGGGGTTATTTCTCACTTTCTGTCTCTCTGGTGAGTGTACATGCCCTATAACAAAGCAAAAACTAAAAAAAAAAAAAAAGTCTATGTCTTACACTTGAGGGGCTCAGGGCTGGGGACATGAATTTCACATTCTTTTCTGTGGCGATGGCCACCTGGTCTTTTTTCTTACCTTCCTCAGCATACTGCTGTTTTTAGAGGCTGCCGGAGATTTTCCCTCCGTGGCTCTCAGTTTCAGGCTATGTATCACAAGGCAGTCATTGTGTTTGCTGCAGGTCACAGTGTGAAGCTCTGTAGCTCCATGTAGAGGTATTGGGTCACAGGGAACTTCTCAGTGAGCTGAACTCTGTAGCTCCATGTAGGGTTGCTGGGTTAAGGGTAACAAATTCAGCAAGCTGGCCATATCTCCCTGGGTTTGAATACTCATCTTACACTTTACCTTCCTCCTGTTCTACCTTATCCTGCTTTTTATCACTTATATTTTCCCACTTCTATTTTTTAGAAACAGGCTACAAAGGGTGATAGTCAATATCAGCAAGAATCCTGGAGTTCAGAAGTCTCAAAACTATTTGATAATCACAAATATTTGTATTTCCTATGAATTATCTAATATTCATATCAACCTGTGAGATAGATAGCATTCCATTTGTAGATAGGAATACTGAGGCTCAGGAAAGATTTTACTCCTAGCTTCAGTCACAAAAATACTGTCAAAGCCAAGAATACCAATGTGGAAAGTCTCTCTCTGGAACCTGTAAGAATAACCACTTCACTTTCCATTGGGCAGTTCCTTGCTAGGGCACAAAGGTTTACTCAACTGTAGAATGTAACTCGTCTTGCTGAAGCACTGAGTTTTGTTGATTCTCTCTACTGTACATGTGTTTGTTATTTCATTAGTTTATCCTTTTATCTTTATTATTTCCTTTCTTCTATTAAATTTAGTTTGATGCTGTTCCTTTTTGAGCATCTTGATTTATAGGTTATCTTATTTTCTAGTATATGCTTTTAAGATGATAAATTTCTCTTGTTCAAAGCTCTAGGTATAACCCAGACATTTGGATATTTCACAATTTTATTATGTTAATTCAAATTTTTTTCTACTTTTTTATTATGACTTCTTCTTTTATTGTGGCTTCTTCTCAGTTATTTAGAAATGTGTTGCTTAATTTCCAAATAGTTGGGGATCTTTGTTATTGGATGAGGAGGAGCTGGGAGCATTGTGATGAATGCTTCATTCTTGGGTTCAGATTTCAAAGATTAGAGACTCATCCAGAGATGCAAATAAAGCCACAACAATGAGAAAAGTATGAAAGACAGAGTCCTTTCAGAAGAGGGTCCAGGCGGGCAAGCTGCCTGGCAGCAACTGCACCAAGAATGGGGTTATATTTTTTGTGGAGTCTTGTCAAATATAAATCTCATGACTACAGATAAAGCTACCCATGAAGGATGAGTGATGTGTCTAACTGGAACTATGTAGAGCTTTCTTTCTCCACCTGGTCAACTGTTGATTGTCCAGTTGCTAACGGGTAACAGGGATATAACTGTTAATCGTTCAGAAGGACTTGGTCTCAGACTGGCCTCCATACTGGAAGAAAGAGTATACACAGAAGGCAGGAGGAGGCATGAACAGCCCTCTTGTCCTCACTAATGTCCTTCTTATACTTGCACTTATTCTCAGCCATGAGATAGTGACCATTGCTTGTCAAGGTATTCTTCACTCAAATGGGTATCCTCAGGTGCAGACTTGGCTTCGTTCCTTTTTAAACAGTGAGGATGGAAATACACAAAATGCCATCATGTCAAAGATCTGAATGTTGCTTTTGACATCAATTTTCTTGTTCAAGCCAAGTGGCAGTAGCAATTGGCTCATTGATGATTTTGAGCACAAGGAGATCAGCAATGATTCCAGTGTCTTTGGCAGCATGAAGCCTAACTCTTCAAGTAATGCTGAGGAATTGACAAGTTTTATCATAAAGTTCTTCCCGGTTTTCTCTATCTCAGTAGAAATCAGGAGTGATCAAGGAGGCTGAACTCAAATTTATACAATGCTTTAGGGCAAAGGTTCACCCATTTTCTGCATAACTTCTTTTTTTTTTTTTGGAGAGGTTTTTACTATAGGGCGCGTGCACTCGCCAGACAGACAGAGAGAGACAGAAAGATAGAAAGCGAGAAATCACCCCCCAGGGGGAGATGGCCACGCCGCAATCCCTTCTCCTCCGTTCTCCTCTCGAGATCTTGGGCACTCACGCACACGCACCCAGCGTGAGTTTTAAGCCACTGGGTCCGGAACGCGAACCGCGGTCGACTACATGGGAGTCCAGGGACATAGCCATTACGCTAACTACTGGTCCCAATTTTCTGCATAACTTCTTTATGAGATAGTTTTACTTTCTTCCCAGCTTCTAAAGTTTCTGGAATTGACTGAACATATTCAACAAATTTATCCAGCAATGTTTCTCAAATAGCCAGTTTCACTGAAAGGCAAAGAACATTGGAGAAAGAGAATTCTTCTAGAATAGTCTCATCTAAATACAGCCCTGAATTTAACTTGATTTGCCCTGTGTGAAATTTGGACTACTCCAGTGTTTTCATATAAAGTTCTTCATTTTCTCCATGCACCAATGCAATTTCATAATGCTGAATTTTTATGTTTTTTATAATTTGCATCTCATGCTTTATAATTTTGTCTTCATTTTCCAAAACATAGCATTTCTTCTTCCCTGAAGAATACTGTTCCAGGATCACCTTCTTTTATAGAATTTTCTACACCCATCACCAAAATATTTGCTGCATCTCTAGGCAAGTTTGTGACTTCAATATACTCATGGGAAGACAGATCTTAGACAAATTTGCCAGGTGATTTTCATCCATTGTTGCAAATGCCGGTTAGTGTATCAGGTCCTCGTTCATAGACTGGGCCAGAAGGTTGGTCCCAGATGACTACCTGGTCTTTGAGGATTTTAGTGGTCTCTTGATTTGTAGAAAGTCTTGTTTTGCAACAAATATTTAGTTGATAAATTCTATTTTACAATGATAAACTTCAGGATTCCTTTTTTAGTCCCAATACCATGACATTTCATAAAGACTTGTGTTAGAATAGGCCTTTTAAAGAATGCATTGTGTTTTGTACTCAGTGATATCTTTCTTCTTAAAAATAAACATTTTGGGCAATTTTTTTGTATTACGTCTTTGATCATTTCAAACCCTACATATTTCTTTTCTTCTTTTTTTTTTTTTAGA